AACTTGACATTGTTCGTTTTCTTGTATAATCTGCAGATTAAGATCTCATCCACTTCATACTTATCGGTTTTACCTAAACTCTTTCGGATTGCATTAGACACCGTTAAGCACCTCATATTCGTATAGGCTATGTTCTTCTGTGATTCTGTCATATCACCGGTTGTATTAAAATACTTATGAACAAACTCGGATAAAGATAACTTATGAAGCCACATATCATCATACATCATATCTAATATTTTTCTGTTGGCTTCTGCTGTTGGGTCCCCTTGTTGTCCTAATCTCTTACATATGGTAAGCATAACATTATATTTGAAGATCTGATCAATACATTCATCTGCGTATTCGTCCGGCTTCCTTGTATTGGTCAGATCTTCAATCGGCGGTAGTTGTTTGACATCACCCGCTCCGATTATGATTTTATTCGGGTTTTTCTTAACAAACTCTCTGATCCTATTTAATATGTGGGTTCCATTCATATAGATCTCATCAAAGACAATACAATTATAACTGCTATGGTCAAACTCGGGGAGCTTCTCCCCGTCACGGCTTCGCCCTGAGGGGGAGCGAAGCTCCCCGTCGCCAACAGGAATGGCGAAAAACTTATTGGTAGTCACCGCATCGAGGCATCCGCCTACTATCGTGTCGTCTATATTCTGCGCTAAACTGTTCTGTGGCACTACGAAGAGAGTTTTATAGCCTAACTTGCTGAAATGCTTTGCTATATGCGACTTGCCACCACCTGCGTATTTAGATCGGATCATCATAGGATTATTTGTTACGATATCTTTTGCTATGCTTTCCGTGTCCCACTCGTTTTCTATGGGTCGGGTCTCATTGCTAACTACGGGAATTGGTATCAGTTCGTTCTTTTTTGGTGCCCACTGCTCTGTGGGTTCTGCTATGTTTTTACTCTTCTCGTGTCTCCACCCGCCGATACGATCTGAAAACTCTATTAGGTTCTTAGCACGTCTTAAATGCTCCTTCCTGATAACAAAGGCATCTGTTTTAACACTCCATACCCCTATATGATTTTCTGTTAGCTTGGTGTAGTCGGTGTGCATTTTAAAGTTATGATGTTGTAATAATAATTCTTTGATGTATATATATCCGTTTCGTAGGGTGGCTTTATCAGTCACTGTTAAGCAATAATATTTTCTGTCCATCTCTTTTTCTATGAAGTCTGTCTCGCCATTAGGTAACTCAATCTCATCAACATACATACCCGAGATTCTGTTAATCTTTCCTCCGATCTTGTGTTGATAATATAAGGCTTCCTTTAGAGTATCAAAGGCATAACTTTTATGGGCTTTATTCGTGTTCTTCTCAAGTAGCCCGAAGTTAACATTGGCTATTAGTTTTTTGATTCTGATGTCTTCGGCTGGTTTGTCAGAGATGTCTGTTTTCCATAATTCCGCTGTGATCTTCCTATAATCCACCTTGTATACTCTGGATGGTTGCTTATAATAAAGAATCTTACATTGCTTCACGAAGTGCTTTAAAAACATACCATATACTAAAGTGTAGGCTTTATTGAAAAATAAACTCCGCTTGGTGGGCTTGACCAAGTAGAGAGTGAGATCGTGAAAATCGGTGATCGTGTTATTATTATATGGCTTCCAGATATCAAACTGAGTGAATACCGGTATCTCGGCGATCTTGTTAAACGCAGATGTGTAAGCTTTTCTTACATCTATCTCCGTAGCCACTTCTGGGGTATAAAAGTATTTGTCGTCTTTGTCTGTCTTAGGGTTATATAAATAATAATGTTTATTTATTTCACCCGTTGGGGGGATGGTGCGACACTCCTTGAAAATCTCTACATCTACTTCGTTGTAATATGACTTGTGGGTCGGCTTGAAGAGGGCGGTATTAAAGTTAAACATTGCTTTAGACATCTTATTGTAGATCTGCTCCGTTCTCACGCAGATGGAACCATCTATAGAATTATTTACCAAGTTCTGGGTCTTAACCTTGTATTTGATTATTTTATCTTTGATCTTAAATTTAAAATTCAGTTCAGATACGAACCCTGCACTAAATCTAACCTGTGGCTCATACCCCGCCTGTTTGCTAAGATAAAAGAGATGAGACAGATCGTAGCCATTATATACCAATGTGTATTCGCTGTGCTCGGTATACTTCCTGATGTCGTCTAGGGATGTGATCATTTTACACTCCACTGGCTCCTCCTTCTCGTTAAGGTGATAATCTGAAGATGCCTTAACAGATATACTATAATTACTGCTTTTGGGTATCATCTGCTTCAACATATTCATATTATCACTGACTGTGTAGATGTGATTGTTCTTCACTATAGCATATAAGGCTGGGATGTGATGGTTTCGCTTTATTGGGTCGCGCTTATAAATGAGAGTGTCAAAGACATCATAAATTCTGACTTGCAAGTTAAAATGTTCAAACACCTTAGCCATGTCTGTTATTGACGCCCCTTTTGTTTTAAAATCTTCTTCCGTCTTGTTTATGATCTTTAGGATGGCTTCTTTTGTTAGTTTGTTCTTCTCTCTCTTGTGATCTCCCATAAGGGTATCCTTATAATAATCCGTCAAGGTGTTAAACCAACACTCGTTCTTAACATAATGATCTACTTTAATGGCTTCCTTAAAGGTCTCATACTGTGGATCTAAGGGTGTCTGAATATATCTGTGATACATACTGACATTCACTGTGTTTGTTAGATCTTCGTCTTGTGGCTTGAAAGCATCGGCGTTATCTACCCTTTCGGCATAATTAACTTTAATACAGTCAATGTAACCTTCTGCGTAACCAACTTCGGCTTTAAAACTGTCATCTGTCACTAATAACAACTTGAGCCTATAGAACGTCTTAGAATCGGCTTTCTCATATTTGAATATGCGTCTCCCCGCTAATTTTTCTACCCACTGTGTTGTATGCACATTAGCAGTTAAAGGGTTCATGTATACTGGGACATATTCCCTACCCCTACTGTCTCTAAAAGACGTTTTTAATACACCTTTGTCTGCTTCTGTCTTAAGCCTATATAAATGAACATTGATTGAATATTTTCTTGGTTTCCTCGGGTTGGTTCTTCCCGTTCGTTTGTTGTCTTCTTTTGCTTGTGCCATTCTCTGATCTAGCTGTTCTTTATCCTTGTGTTTGTCATAGATCTTGTTGTAGTCTTTTTCCGCTTTAGTTTTTTCTTTGTCTGTTTTTGCGGTGGTGAGTTTCCTGATTAAATTGTCTGCTGTGGTAAATTGGGCGATCTTACGATCTGAATATAAGTTAATTATATTTTGAACTTTTGTTCTGGTGGCTTGGGTGATGCGGTTTCGCTTGTTGTTATAAAATGTTTGTAGTGCTTCCGTATTACGCTTAACGGCTTTGGACATATACTAATATAATTAAACTATATACTTATTTTCTTTTTAAGTATAATTTTTCCAAGGATTTTTTAAAATACTAAATGTTTTTTTAATATATAGAAATATGTCTAAAGATAAAAAATAATATATAGTATAGTATAATATGAGTAAAAATCCCGAGGATATGACAATGGATGAAATCAAAGAGCAACTCGCCATATACAGCAGATTGTATTACAACAAGCGCAGAAATGATGAAAAATATATGCAAAAGAAAAGAGAATCTGCACTACGACACAATCAGAGAAAGAAGATCAAGGAGTATGAAGAAGCTAACAATATCAAACTGAACCCCAATGAGTTGACAGAAGAATTGCTATCTGAAATAATGAATGCAAAAAAGCCTTTTAAAGCAAAGCGCGGCACACCCAAATATGATATGAGCAAGTTCAAGATCATAAAGCCGACGGATGACGAATGATGATTTAATTTAAGTATTAAATCATTTTTTCTTTTGTTTTTATATGAGTGAGAAACAAAAAATTATTAATGATGTATATTTTGATCGCGCGGGGTTTGGTTCAAAAAGCCGGACTTTAGAAGAAGCACGGGAGAAAGATAAAACCATCACAATGTCTGATATTAACGAGTTTTTTAGGAAGAATGTTGATCAAAAGCGAAAGCCCGTCGGTTCAAACAGCTTTGTCGCCCCGCATTCAGCATATGAGTATCAGATGGATTTATTTTTTATTAATGACTTGAAAGATCAACAATTTAGAGTAGGGATGTTAATGATTGATATATTTGATAAGTTTATGCATGTCGTGGCAATTAAAGGCAAGAAGGAAGAAGATTTAGCGAGTGGAATGATTGAATGTTTACATAATATCGTCGTGTTGAAGCCGATCAGAAAAAGGGTAAGACCAATATCCAATGGACCGATTATATTTTTGAAGTATTATTAACATATAACAATAGAATGAAACATTCCGCAACTGGCTTCACCCCAAAGGATGCCAGAAAACCGAGCAACGAATTAAAAGTTAAACTGCATTTAAATATGAATGCTAAACGAAATCGGGTATATCCTGAATTAAGTGTTGGTGATGAAGTTAAAATATTTAGGAAGAGGAAACCCAATGAAAAAGAGAGAGTGGGTAATTTTAGCCAAAATGTTTATACCATAGAAAAAATTGACGAACAACTGGGTCAAAAATATTATTATGTTGAAGGAAACGATAGAGTGTATTTACGCTTTGAGTTGTTAAAGGTGTAGTTTTTTCCTGTGTTTTTGAAGTTGTGGGGGTTTTCACAACTTGAGTTGCAAGTTGTTCTACGACTAACAACCGGAAGATGTGAGTGGCTTCGCAATTTGTTGTTTTACTTGTAGATGGATATCAGTTTGAGGTTAAACATCACAGCTTGAGTTGTTAGTTGTGGGGCAACTTGTAAGCGTAGAGGCCTTGTTTCATGCCTGGTTGCTGCACACCTGCTAACAATGGCCACTCAAAAGCTCGTTGAAACAGTATACGACAAGCAAGTAGCAGCCACAGTAAACGTCCAGTTTTTGTGCGTTGTAACCTCGGAGACAGTGTAGATGCCGATCTTTCTGTAGTGTGCTTGCAGTAGAGGATTTGCTCGTCTGTTTCCTTGGCAATGGCGGAGGAACCTGCGGCAGAGAAGCGACGGCTCAATGAGCAATGGTTCGCAGGGCGACTCCAAATAATGGATGATGTGAAAATGTGCGATGGTGTGATTCAGAGGGTGGCACAGAAGTTCAGCTCGTTCAATGAGCAAAATCTGCGCAAGACCACTGTGAAGGATTGGATGGAATTGCTTCAAGCAGAGGTGGCTGATGAAGAGCAGCGAGCAAAGGTAGCCCTGCACTTGATGATATCCATTCGTGACGAGTTCCAACAAACAGCACCTGCGCCTCTGCTCCAATGTATCATGCTTTGCCCTTCCCTAAATTGTTGCACTCTTTCCCGTTTTGCTCATAGACTTTTCCCGATCGCCTTAGTTGATTCTCTTACTTATTAGGTTTAGGGGTTGGCTCTTTGGTTGTAGCGTAGTGGTTTATTCCCCTCTAGGTTTTGGTTTCCTCGTAGGGTTTCCCGATTGGGTTAGTTGATTGGGTTGCTGTAGTTGATTGAGACCCTTTGTCGAAGCGTTTGCCCAGTTGGGGACTGAGTGAGCCTAGGTGGTAGACCAGACGAGACAATTGCTTGACAGTGTCGCATGGTTGTCACGTGCAGCAGTGCACGATCCCAACAGAAATGCATTTGACAAGTCAAGTGCTTCTACATCCAGCAGTTTTGCACTGGTCAAGAAGCAGGTCAGGGCAATCTACGGCGATAAATGTGCATTCTGTGGGGTGGTAGAGAGTACGCAGAGCGGAAGTCAGAGGCGCGATCTTTCTTGCGCGCATCTGACCCCCGACATCGCGAACTTTGACGACGGCTTTGAGACACAGTTGGATTTGCAGTCGACACGCAATTACCTGCTGCTTTGTGGAACGAAAGGTGAGCTCGGCACCTGCCATCATGGGTTTGACAAGCATTTGTTGGCCCTCGTTCCCAGCCCTATCGGAGAGTGGAAATTGCTACATTGTTACAAGGAGTGGAAGCTGAATGCCGAAGGCACTGGTGCACTCCCGCAGTGGTGTCAGCCAGCGTTTCAGGGTTTTACGTCAGGAACAGTTTACAAGAGGGTCCTCGCAAGTCGTCTGCTGAAGTTCTATGCAGAGAACTCCGAAGCTTGTGACAAACTGGACGGTCTTGCAGAGACCATCGAGACAGTCAACGACTTGTCGAGATCAGCAAGTATACGTGAGGATGCAAGCCATCCGTTATCCCGCACTGCCGGAAGCAAGTTGTCTTCTTCTCCGAGCATACCGGAGCCGGCTTCCAAGATGCAGCAGACGGCCTTAAGAGCAAGCTTGGCCCGGTGTTTCACGTGGTGCTACAGTGAATAGATGTGTGTGGCTTCTTTATTGCAAGAAACTGACTGCAAGATGCTGTTTGTTAGGTTGGTGTTTGAGACTGTCTAGGCCTGCGGGTGTGGTAAGTTGATATCGGGTGTGACGATGGATGCCATCTGCAAGTGATTCAGCAGAGTAGCGGCAGCTCAGTTTCGAGGTTTTCCAAGTACAGCAGGGTTGTCTTGGCGAGCTTTGGGATTGACAACCCTTAACCCTAAACCCTGAACCAAATTCTACAAGGAACCCCTTGCCCAGTTTGGCTAATAATGCCACCTTAGAAATTATGAATGGGGTAATGGTTATTCCTAGAATTGTGTTGATAATGGGGAAGTAGTAGTGATATATCGGTGAAGTGTAGGGGGGACCCTAGGAATGATCATCTAATGGGGGAAGTAGTAGTGATTTATCGGTGAAGTGTAGGGGGGAGTATAGGAATGATCATGTAATGGGGGTAGTAGTAGTGATTTATCGGTGATGTGTAGGGGGGAGTATAGGGATAATCATCTAATGGGTTGACGGTGGCATTATTACCCAAACTGGGCAAGGTCTACTCTGACTTTTTTTTCTCCCCGGCCCTCTCCAAAAAAGCACAAACACTGAACCCCTGCAAGCCCTCAAGGAATATAAAGACATGCAGCCCTCAACCGCAACCTCTAAGCCCCTGCCTATGTGGTGCGTGGGCCTTACCTAGGCGTCCTTTACCTTTCACTTTTCTTAGGAGTAAGCAGTCATAGAGACCCCAAGCCATATTCTAAGTAGCCTTCCTTGCCCGCCCGCCCGGTCGACGGCCAGGCGACCCACAAGCAGTTCATTACGAAGCTTATCGTGCAGGGCCTGCTGATGTTGCTGGAGGCACACAAAGTCCAACAGCCCCGAAACCTGGTTTAGGGTTTAGGGTTTAGGGTTTAGGGTTTAGGGTTTAGGGCTAAACCCCAATCCGAAACCCTCAACCTTAAACCGTGGACCCTGAAAAGGCCCAAACGCCCTTGCCAGGACACAGTGGAAGTCCGGTGTCGCAAATGCGACGAAGATGCGGGCTCAGTTCTGCGCCAAAGTGGAAGATCCCAAGCCCCACATGCTCTCAGCCCTCGCTTACGAACGCGAAAGCTGTGGGTGATGGCCATGAACTCCCCTCAGAGGACTCTTAGGTATCCTACCCCCTAAAGAGTAGGGAAGCAGGGCTCAGGGGGGGCTCAAGCAAGTAGACCCCCAAAATCCTCGGGGGGACATGAGGCCCTCGTCTCTGAGTGCATCGATGCCGCAGTGAAGGAGTACACGGAGGTCGGGGAGCTCGAGAGCTTGCTGTGTAGTGGGGAGAGCGAAGGGCTAGATGAAACCCGAAACCCTAAACCCTAAACCCTAAACCCTAAACCCTAAACCCTAAACCCTAAACCCTAAACCCTAAACCCTAAACCCTTGACCTTTGGGGTTTTAGGGTTGGATTGTTGGGCTTCTCGTTCCCCTCAAACCGTTACAATGAAGGCCGAGTCGTTGCAAGTCCAGTTTTGGGGTCTATGTCTTGTCTGAAATGGGCGAGGCCAGAATTTGAGCCAAAGGGAAATGGTGATTGGGTTTTGGGCGAAGGGTGCCCCTGAAACCCTAAACCCTAAACCCTAAACCCTAAACCCTAAACCCTAAACCCTAAACCCTAAACCCAAAACCCTAAACCCTAAACCCTAAACCCTAAAACCCCAGTTCGAGCGCGATGCCGAGTCGGCTTCGTACCCTTGAAGGTGGAGACTTCAGGGCTGAGGGTGAGGAATTTAGGGCTCAGGATTTGGGGCTCAGGGGCTTATGCCTCACCTTAAGTTTTGAGCGTGGGGCTCTGCGTTTGAGGGTTGGGGGTCAGGGAGTTGAGGGGAGTTTAGGGGGGGCTTAGGGTTGCAGGACTGTAGCGGTTTAGGGCTTTGCCCTCCATGTTGCGTTCGAGCCGAAGGGTCTGAAAGCATGGAGAAAAGCCTGAGCCCTCCAGGCCCCGAGACCTGAAACCCCAACCCTTAAGCCTAAAGCCCAAAACCTTCAAACCCAAACCGTAAACCCCAAACCCTACAAGCCCTATAGACTATAAACCCCGAACGCCAAACCCTAAAGCTAATCACGGTTCAGGGTTTAGGGTTTAGGGTTTGGTGTTTCAGGTTTGGGGTTTAGGGTTTAGGGTTTGTGGTTTAGGGCTTGGGGGTGCAGGGGCTTAGGGTCTGAGGCTTGAGGTTTGAGGCTCGGGGTGCGCTCCTCAGGTCATCAAGAGCTCGACGGGAGCCTCCAAGACCTGCAAGCTCAGCATAGACAAGGCGGGGGCCCCTCAGGCTTCGGTTGCACCCTAAACCCCAAACCCCAAACCCCAAACCCTAAGCCCTAAACCCTAAGCCTTAAACCCCAAATCCTATAAATCCTAACCCCGAACCCTTAAACCCTGAACCTCATATAGGGCTCAGAGCCTAAGACCCTAAACCGTGAAGCCCACAGCATGCAAGATCCAAAAGCCACAGAGCGTCAGGGTTTCGGGTTGAGGGTTTCGGGCTTGGGTTTAGGGTTTAGAGTTTAGGGTTTAGAGTTTAGAGTTTCTTTTGTCGTAAACCCCCAAACCCCGAATTCCCCCAGCTTTCATCAGGCCGTGCAGCTACCGCCAGCCCCGGGCAGCGGGCAGCACGGCCCAAGCTGCTTGGGCGGCGTGGCCCCAGCCTCATGCTTTTCTTTTTTTGGGTTCAGAGTTTAGGGTTTAGGGTTTGGGGTTGAGGGTTTGGGGGACAGCTCAGTGGGCTCAGGGCTTTTCAGGTGCAGGGGCTATCTGCAAAGGGTTTCGGTAGGCACATGAGCGTAGTTGGGGGTGGCTTCAAGCTCACTATTCAGGAGTATTGTTACGTTTGGGCTTGATTCTGCCGGGGAGTTGACATGATTCGTTCTTACCTCGTGCCCCCAAGCTCCTAAGCCCCCAGCCCAAAACCCGAAAAGAACGAGCAGGGCTTGGAAATCGAACTGGCATGTTGACGTTAAACCTATAAACTCCCACCCAAAACCCTAAACCCAACCCGAACCCAAAACCCAAAACCCTAAACCCTAAGCCTTAAACCCTAAACCCTAAACCCTAACCCTAAACCCTAAACCCTGGCTAGGTCCTGGCTTGCCAGAAGGGTTCCATCACCATCGACAACACCATCGATTCGCGGCTGGCACTGGTCATGGAACAGGCGCGAGGGTTTAGGGTTTAGGGTTTAGGGTGTAGGGTTTAGGGTTTAGGGTTTAGGGTTTGGGGTTTGGGGTTTAGGGTTTAGGGTTTAGGCTTTAGTGGTTTGCACTGTCTTTGCATCCGGGTTGGGGAACCAAGCCAAGCCCCAAACCAAAGCCCCTGCAGCCTGGAAACCCAAGGAGGCCATTCCACGGAGCGCTTTCGGGTTTAGGGTTTCGGGTTTTGGGGTTTAGGGTTTAGGGTTGGGGGTTGGGGGTTTAGGGTTCTCGGGGTTTAGGGTTTAGGGTTTGGGGGTTAGGGCTTAGGAGCTTGCTTGTCAGGAAGGGTCCCCTACAAAGAAAGGTTTCCTTTTGGGGGGCTGTTGCCCAGAAAGTTAGGGTTAGGGTTTAGGGTTTAGGGTTTAGGGTTTAGGGTTTAGGGTTTAGGGTTTAGGGTTTAGGGTTTAGGGTTTAGGGTTTAGGGTTTAGGGTTTAGGGCTTGCGGGGCAGCTCGGAGGCCAAGCCAACAATCAGGAAGCTGCTGTTCACCAAGTCGAGGTCCCAGCTTCTGGGAGCTTTTCTGCAACCTCGGGGCCCTTTCCCCTTTCCCCTTTCCCCTTTCCCCTTTCCCCTAAACCCTAAACCCTAAACCCTAAACCCTAAACCCTAAACCCTAAACCCTAAACCCAAAACCCCCAAAACCCCCAAAACCCCAAAACCCAAACCCGAAACGGGGCTTGGCCCTAAACCCCCCGGGTTTTGGGTTTAGGGTTTCGGTTTTAGGGTTTAGGGTTTAGGGTCAAAGAAGGTATATCAGAAAAGAAGACAAGCAACAAAACGAAGAAACATCCCCGAGCCCACCCAGCACGCATCCGAAGCTACAAGTCTTCTGGGGTTAAAAGGGGTTTAGGTTTTAGGGGTGCTTTTTGGGGCGAGTTAGTCAAAGGCTTCTGGGGTTGTATGATATCTTTCCAAAAGTGGTCTTCTGGGTCGAGGGACGTCTTTGTTGCTCTAGATTCAGTCAGGGTCTGCGGAGGGCACAGGGGTGGGAGTTTAGGGTTTCTGGTTCAGGGTTTGGGGGCTGTTAGTTCGCACGACCAGTGCTGTTTCTACCTCTACGTCGGCGCGCGCGTCGCAGCCACAGCCAAAATGTGCTGCTTAGCAGTTTCCCTTGCTGCTGAGAGTGTTCGGTTCGCCAAAGGCCTACCTTAAACCCTGAACCCTTGGCAACCTTGCGCCCTAACCCTTGAGCCCTGCCCTGGCCTTCAACCCACAGCCCTCAACCTTCTTCAGCCCTAAAACCCCCAAACCCGCCAAACCCGCCCCAAACCCGCCCCAAACTCTGAACCCTAAACCCTAAACCCTCGTGACCCTAAACCGGTAAAATGCCAAACCCTAAGCCCAATAACCCCCCCAACCCCCAAAGCCCACACCGCGGAGCTTGAGCTCGAAGCCCAGAGACTCATGAAGCATTTCTTTCAAGCCCCTGATCCCCGAAGCCCTAAACACCCCTTTAGGCACCGAAGCCCCAAACCACTGAACCCCCCAAAAAACTCGATACTCCGAAGCCCGAGACCCCTACCTAAAACCCTAAACCCTAAACCCTAAACCCTAAACCCTAAACCCTAAACCCTAAACCCTAAACCCTAAACCCTAAACCCTAAACCCTAAACCCTAAACCCTAAACCCTAAACCCTAAACCCTAAACCCTAAACCCCAAACCCCAAACCCCAAACCCTAAACCCAGGTGATGTTGAGCTTCGGGTGCTTCGTATCGGCTCGGCGACCCCCGAGGAGCTCGCGACGTTTGAGGAAGCTGAGCGCAGCTCTTG